AATGGATTTCTTATCATGTTACAAATTTATTTTAAAACATTCAGGAGGCAATAACTATTTCATTGATGTGTACTATTTTATAATTGTTGGCTCTATTTTTATCTTGTAGAGTCCTACATCTCCTCTCTACATATTGACATCCTATCATGTTGTTTTTGTAGTACCTGTACAACTGCACTGAAATCATTTCAATTAAATGCGTGGTTGAAAAGCTGACATAATACATTCAATTACCAACTTGCGTAAAGTGAATAAGCTATTTAATAATTTGGAAAAAACATATTCCATTTAAACTTCCTTCTGTATAACCAGTTCAATATTCTGAACCTTTTGGGTACAGCCATTTGAAAGCTTTTCAAAACTTTTCACTATTTTTTTTTTCTTTTTTGAGATAGAGTCTCTCTCTGTCGCCCAGGCTGGAGTGCAGTGGTGTGATCTCAGCTCACTGTAACCTCCCCGTCCTGGGTTCAAGTGATTCTCCTGCCTCAGCCTCCCAAGTAGCTGGGATTACAGGCACCTGACACCACACCTGGATAATTTTTGTATTTTTAGTGGAGACGGAGTTTCACCATGTTGACCAGGCTGGTCTTGAACTCCTCACCTCAAGTGATCCACCCACCTCCGGCCTCCCAAAGTGCTGGGATTGCAGGCATGAGCCACTGCACCCACCCACTATAGATTTTTATCTGTAGTAGATTTAGTTCAGTACGGCATTTGAGAGGCATAGGAACTGGAACAAATCCTTCACTGTTTGGGACTGCCTTGCATATTGTAGAACATCCAGTAGAGCCCTTCCCACAAAGTGACAGCAGCAGCCTCAGGCTGTCCAAACACCTTGTTCGGGATGGTGCCACTCCCCGGAAGAACCACAATCATAGGAGAAGCATACAACAAATATGGTGTTCATCGGATTGGCAGCTTCAGTGGCACTTTTGAGCAAACGTGCTATTTGGTTGTAGAATGAGTCCCCAGCGGAGCACCCGAAAGGCGAAAGGCTGACGTGTGACTCATTCCTAAGACCTGTGTGAATGCTGAAGGCCCCTCCTTCTCCAGCCGAGTGGCAGCTTTCCAGTACAGACTACTTAAACTGTGACTTGAGGAATTTTCTTCACTTTTTCCTTTGAGTCATTCCTTTTTTGATCAAGCCGTGATAGACTGAAGGACTCTCTCAGGGTCTGCTGTCACATCCTTCCTTCAGGAACAGAAAGAAAATCTGGCTTGGCTTGAAGAGTTTGTCCTCAAGCATCTAATAAGCCATAGGCATCAGCACCTCTCACTTTTCCAGGACACTTAGATGTAGCCCCCATGGAGGCTTATGGCAAGGGGACCCCTGATTTTTTTACTAGGGCTTCCTTCCGGGCACAGCCACATGGGCACAGGCACTGCAGTGTACAGCACACCTCCTCCAGATTCTGGAAGACTCTGTTATCTAGAAAAGCACTGAGGAATGGAGAAGTGCATTCCTCTGGGGTGGAGTTGGAAAGAGGAAAAGGAAGAGAGAATCCTAGCAAAATGAGAGAAGGCAAAGAACAGCAGACTTGAGAGCGAAGGGGAAGGAGAGAGCAAGAGACTGGGTTGAGATGTCTTGTACATGGGGGTGTCCACGTGGCTTCGCTCTCCTTTCTTTTGTACCACTTGATTTCTCCAGACTCTTCCTAAATACCTTCTTATTGGCGGAAAGATTCAGAATGCCTGGAAGCTCAGACTTGCTGACAGCATTTCAAAACTCGAATAATGACATATAGATTTTTTTTTTGTTTCCATCTTGGGGATGTGGAGCAGCCTCCAGAGTTGCAAAAGCCTGCCTTGCTGCAAGAATATTTTCAAAGACCCTCACGGTCTGCTCACTTGCTCTGTGCTGCTGGGCACAGTGGTGTGGCTGTCCAGGGTGGCAGAGACCACCTGGGATGTGGAAGTTACCAGCACCCTGTTTTGCTCTTGCTCTTTAGCAGCGGTTGCCAAAGCACATGAAGCATCCTGGGAATCTGGATTTCTATTGTTTTTCTCAAATGGGCCCTGAAGGGCAACAGGCAGCAAACATGGACTGCATTTTGCCAGAAAAGTCCAGAATGAAGATGGCTGCTGTTGTCAACTATTGGCATTTCAAAGGGACCCTATTTTTATTTCTCAGTATATTTGCACAGCTAGGAAGCATCTGCTGACAAGGATGAGATGATAAGCTGTATTGATGCCAAAACAGGACTAGAAAAACAGGCTTGTTCTGCAAATGGCCTGCACCCTGAGAGTCCGTGTAAGAACACTCTCTCTGTAGGCAATATCTGCTCTTAAAACATTAACACTTGAAAGGAAGTAAGGCCTGGAACCTTTAGCATAGTCATGCACATACTAGGTTCTCAGTAAGCGCATGCTGGAGGAAGGAATCCATACGCACCTTAAGGCAGATGGAACATTGGCAGCCCAAGAAAAAATGTCACTCCCCAGGGGCCAAGTGCTATGTCTTTGACCTCCACTGGCAAAGTCATGGAGAAATGCTGACTCTTGGGGTCGCTGAGGTCCCAGCACGGTGTGCCTTCGCACTGTGCAAACAATAAGAAGAGAAGTGATACACACGTGTCACCTTCCCAGGCAAGGACATCCAAGCCGTTTGAGTCTCTGTTATGTGGTTTCCTTGAAGAAGAAAGGGATAATTGGTGAATGAGGCCGGCATCCTAGGTGGGAATAAAAAAGGAAATTGGTAGAAAGTACATCAGCCAAGTTGGACGAAGTCAGCTCTGTGGCTTGGGCAGATTCCTAGGATATCCAGCCGAGGCAGGGGCCCTAGGGGATGTGAGGCTGCACTGTGTTTGATGACACAGAGGACTGTGAGAGGCAGAGATGAGGGGAGGTCAGCTGAGGCCCTCCCAGCCCTAACCCCCAGTGCAGTGCACACTCTCTACTGTCTGCCACCTCCAGGCCAACACCTCGGCCACAGGACGTTTGCCCGTTTTTCTGATAGACACATTCTTTCTCTACCAACAGCCCACATGGAATATAAGTGAAGTAATTCAGCAATTTCCTTCTTAGCCTGCTTTCTCTCTGCTGCTTACTCATTCTGTGCTGTTTGCTTTAGATCAGAGTGCCCCAGGGTACCAAAAGCTACACCGAAAGTTGAATCCTATTCAACTACATGGAAGCCAAGATCCCGACCATTCTGGTTTTGTTGTTATTGTTATGTTTGTTTTAAAGCTTAGCCATCTTCCATTCTGGGCAATTACAACTCTGTTTCCTATGAGTTCCTCTGTGTAGGTGTTTCTCCCATTCCCAACCTACGAACTGCTAAGTGAGCAGTAACTTGTCACCATGTTATCCACATAAAGTCAGGGATTGATAAACTTGGGAGCATTTAGCTCTTGAAGGTGCTGATGAGGAAGGGGAGAGGGCAGGAGGAGAAACAGATCTGTGAGATGATAAACTTGGGAGCATTTAGCTCTTGAAGGTGCTGATGAGGAAGGGGAGAGGGCAGGAGAAGAAACAGTTTTGTGAGATGGTCAGTGGGCTGAATAGTGGTATGACCAAAAAAGTGTTGCTATAAATACACATAATCTGGAAAAAAAAAATACTGTCATTGCTCCCTGCAAGGGGTGTGTTTAGGCAGGATGGAGCTTATTTCTGGAATGTTAGAAAATGCATCCTTGTAGTCCCCAAAAAGCCTGTTTCATTCTGTCCATCTCTTGTTCTCAGTACTTCTCACCTCACTGTCACTCACTTTCTTCCTACCCTTGGATTGAGGTCACAACTGCTTGTAATAGAATTTTTTCAGCTACAGGTGACAGAAATCCAACTCACATTATGTTAAGCAAAAAGGGGATTCACTGATACATGTGTTAGGAAGGATATATGAAAGGTCAAAGGTCAAATGAAAAAAATGTAGGAACTAAGACCTTGTGACTACTACCTACTACCTGGATCTCTCCTCTCTCTCTCTCTCTCTCTCTCTCTCTCTCTCTCTCCCCTCCCAGTCTATCTCCCCCCTCTACCCCCCCCACCCCACACACACATTATCACCTCTGCTTGTTGTCAGTAGGTTCCTTTCTGCAGATAGGAGTTCCATGTGCTGGGAAGAGGGCCATTCAGAGCCCTGTAGTCTCAGCCTCCCAGTTTAGCAATGCTAGGGGAAAGAACTTCTGTCTCACAACCTCATATACAATCTCAGAAATAGGCTCTTATTTTCTGGCTTGAGGCTACTACTTGCTAGAAGCACCGGGCAGTGTGATGGTCTCACCTTCTGTCCTGGGTCTACCTGTGGCCCAGAGAGCAGGATGTATTTCAGAAAACAGGCAAGAGAGGAAAAATTTATGTGGTCGTAAAAAAGTGATTTTCAAGGTGGCCTATACCCATCCATGTCATACACTTTTCTGTTGAGCCTGAAAAGTGCTTAGACTTCACATTTGATCTAAAACAGAAATCCTACTTGGAAAAATCACTTTCCAATCACTTAGCCAATCGCTCATCATTCTCTGACTCTCACCACGAGTTTCACACATCTCCAGAGAGAGCGTCTCCTTTATCATTACCAGATATGGAGTCAGCAGATTGTGTTCCATCTAAGCTCTGCCTACCTACTATCCGAGTTCCCCAGCAGGTTAGTGACTTTCTCTGCCCTTTAGTTCCTTGATGTGAATAGGAACAACAGTGGCTGCTCACAGGGTTGTCAATTACATGGTCAATTACATTACATGAACAATTCATGTTGGTGTCAGTCCTGTCTGAGAAAGGGTGGCCCACGTGGCCATGACAGTCCCAAGGCTAACAGCCCCTTTGTGGGTCATGGCTCACACAAAGGAGCCCCCCCGCTTGGTTTTCTGGTGCTCTGAAACTTGCATATGCATTGGGAATTTTACATTGTAACTCAATTTCAAATGGGTCCAGAACATCCCCATTGCTAGATTTCTGTGCTAGGGAAGGGCACTGGCTCATTATTACATCCCATGAACACTCTGGGTCTCCTAGACCTCATCCTCTTTGAGCTTCTCTCTCTCACTCTCTCTCTGCGCATTCAGGAGTGTACACATTTCTGTCCAGCACCCTGAAGTCTCTGGAAGAGAAGGACCATATCCACCGAGTCCTGGACAAGATCACAGACACTCTGATCCACCTGATGGCCAAGGCAGGCCTGACCCTGCAGCAGCAGCACCGGCGGCTGGCCCAGCTCCTCCTCATCCTCTCCCACATCAGGCACATGAGGTGAGGCATCTGCAGGCTTCCTACAAAAGAGACAAAGAAAACCTGCTCCCAAACCTATGTGACAGCTGGCCGGGAAGGACTGGTGCCTGCATATGGAGAACATACTTGTGACAGTGCCTGGTACAGAATAAGCATAAATGCTATGGGAGGACAGAAGAGAGAGATTTTAAATCTGCATGGGTCATGGGGCAGGTGTCAGAGAAGGCATAGAGGAAATGACACTTATGCTTGGTTTAAAGAATGTGCTTTCTGGCAGGGGCCTAGGGATTGGATGCGGTATGCAAACAGGAGGAGGGAGCCAATCAGGAGAACTCTGTGAGCGTACACGTTCCCTGAAGACACTGGGCACATCTGTTATGGTCCCTGTTTACACTCAGATATCCTAAATGAGAGACCCTGGGGCCCGATGCCTCACAGAGAGTCAGTGTTATCTCCTTCATACTTGTCGAACCCCGTCTGATCATCCCCATTGTCATTACCCTAGTCTGAGCCACCATCATTTTCTGTTGGAATTCTCTGACAGCCACCAAATATGTATCCCCGCCTTTAATCTAGATCCTTTCTAGATCATACTCCATGATGTGTCTAGAGTAATCCTTCTAGAACCAAATCCGATATCATCCTCATGCTTAAAACCCTTCAGTGGCTTCTCATTACCTTTAGGTTAAAGTATAAACCCTATCACTGTGTTTGTATCACTCTTTATGACTCAGCCCTCACTTAGCTTATGAGGACTTCCTCGTGTCTGAGCTCTAGCCATAATAGCTGACTGCTGGGTGAGTCATCTGGGGGGTTCTTCAGGCTTCAGATTGTTGGGCAGCCCTCTTGTCCTCAGCTGGGCTCACTCACACATCTGGGAGGCAGCTGTTTGAGGCCAGGATGACTCTGCTCCATGTCTCTCATCTCCTATCCTCCTTGTACCCATATGTTTGCTGGCACCAGAAAGTGATCCTGTTTGGGCAAATGAATTTTACTCTTTAACTCATATCCACTGACATTTCATTGGCCAAGCAAGCATGTGGGGACCCCAAAGTCAAAGCTGGACATGTTGCTGGGGAAGTGAATATTTCTGAGCAATAATCTAACCTATCACAGCTCAGATTTCACTCCTTGCCGGAAGCATCTCCTAACCCTTAAGTAGTAGTTAGAACTTACACCCTGTTCTTCTCTTTGGTTTCTACCCATTTTACTATTTTTCTGCCCATTTAGACTGAGGACTCTGTAAGCCAGCATTGCAATCTGGCTTGCTTACTCTGTGTACCCAATATCACCTAGCACAGTGCAGAGCACATAGGAAATACTCAATAAACATTTTCTGTAACAGCTAAGGAAGGATATCAGCAGAGAAAATAGCGTCTATGCCAAAAGGTGACAGTGGACTCATTTCCATTCCATTGTTCTGCAATGTGGCTAGCCAAAAGCTTACTGGATACCATTCTCATAAGTAGACCTCACCTTCAGGGAAGAGTGGGAGATTGGTGGGTTCTTTATTGCAGACGCCAGCAGGGCCACAACAACGATTGGAAGTGATGACACTGGAAGGACAGGTACCAAAGGGTGATGAAGCCACAATGATGATGTCAAGTGATATCACTAGAAGGATATGTACGCATGGGTGATGAAGCCTACATGACCTTGGGCTTACACCAGGACCTGAGGAATGAAAGAGATTCCTTCTGTTAGTGGCTATGAGAGAAGGCCTCTGATGTCTGAAAAAGGTTGGATTTGATTATTTTTAAGGGACTTTCAAATCTTGAGATCATGATTCAGATGGCAAGAACTTTGCTGCATTAAAGTCCTGGGCACTACCCTTGCCAGAGACAAGCTTAAAAATTTATTAGCTCCTAGGAAAATAGATGTGTCTTGTTTTCTTAGTATCCCTCAAAGTGCCATAGATGGACTTATATATGTATATGCTCGCAACATTACTACTGAGTGAATGAACAAACAAATGAGGGAATGAACGAATGAACAAATGATTCAGGCAGGCGCTTCCCTGCCTTGTGAATTTGGCTTCTACTTGGTAAGAAAGTGATTGCAATCTCTGTTCTCAGGGTTCCCCAAGGATCCCTGTGTAACAGACGAAGAAATCACAGCTCTCAGGTAGAGTAGGTGACTGCATTCAGAGTATACACTTCCAGTCTTTCCTTTTCCTTTTGATGAATATTATAGAAAGGGAAGCCATGAATGGAATAGATGCCAAAATCCCTGGCTAAGAGAATAACCTTACCCTGGAAGAAAACATATTAGCTTTGACTCCGGGCTAGGAATTTCAGTGATATTGTAGATTCAATGCATTGCGGTTGAATGTTTTTATTTGTTGATAGGAATTGCTGAATTTTCAAATCCATTAACTGCTTGTCAGCATTAGCAAGACTAGTTAGTTAATACAAGTAAATCTGCACTAAATATACAATCCTGGGTGATTTTACTGGCCACATCTGGCAGAGGGCAGCAGCAGGGAGAAAGCTCTGTAGAGTTTCTGCCGGAATTGTGTGAAAAGCTGGAGAGAGGTTGCTATTCTACTGAAAGCTTTGAACCCCCCCTTCTCTGTCTTTCTGTCTCTCTCTCTCTCTCTCACACACACACACACACACCCCCCCCAATATTTTGGTTCCTCACTACAGCCAATCTAAATCGTAGAAGTCTATTTTGTTAAATAATCTTGGCCCCAGACATATGTTGCTACGCAGAGAATTTAATACCAGATTTTATACAACTGTAAATGTGAATCATCAGGTTGCGGGAGGAAGACAGTGGCAGATCCAGGGGGAGTTTAACTTTTACAGCATTTTAAATGAAAAAAAAGCAATGCTTAAACAAGTAATTCAGATCATATTGTAGGCTCTGATAGCTCTGATGTTGTGTTTTCATGGCAGGTCTCCAACTTGAGCTGAATTGTCCCCTACAAAAAACACAAATTTTTCTAAGACATTCTCTTGAAATTTCAAGCTAGATAATAGTTGTTCTCCCCACAACTCCCACCACCAATAGTGTGGTAGGGACAGCAGAATTGTGGCTAGCGGAGGAGAGCAGAGGAGAATAGGGAAAGGAGAAGGCCATTCGCCTACATTTCCTTGTGCCTATTTCCCCCCTTTTTTCCTGAACATTAACTGAGTTCTGGGCACTGTTTTAGGCTAAGCAGAGGGCAGGATAAAGCCTGCTTCTCCAGGAATTCTCACGGAGTGTGTGAGTGTGTGCATGTGTGTGTTAGAGGTGGGGAGAATAGACACAAATAAATAAAAAGGAGAATTTCACGTAGCGATAAGTGTGATGAGGAAAACAGAACAGTGTGAAAGAGGAAGGCTGAGACTGCAGAGGTGTGAGGCCGCTGCGACTGGGTAGCGGTGGGCCTTTCTGAGGAGGCGGCAGTTGAAGACCGGAGGTAGATGCATCCCAGGAAGTAGAAATAGCAAGTGCAGATCCCCTAAGTCTTGGGGGAGGTTAGCTTTTTAAGGGCAGCACAAAAATCAGTGTGGCTAAGGAGAGTGGGTTAGAGGAGACAGGCAGGAAGAGCTTGGAGAAGTGGATGGAAGCTGGACCACTTGGGCCTGGTAGAGCATGGAAAGATATTTAGATTGTATTCTGAGTTAAATGGGAAGCGACTCAAGAGATTTAACAAGGGAGTCTTGATCTTGAACTCTTTACACATTTAAAATACTCACTCCTGCTTGGCTGGAAACACCATGTTCTCTTTTTAGATGCACTGGCGGTCCTATCTAAAGGCATTTGGATCCTGTTAGAGGGGAATAGGATCTCATTTGAGGCTGCGGAAGGCCATAGAAGTCACCTGCATAGAAAATATCCTGAAAGTGGCTGCAGGGAGAGTGTGAGGGTGGGACTGCCCTCGTAGGAGGTGGGACATTAAAAATACACAGCGATGAGTTCCAGATCAGGGCCTCGGCTTTCCCAGCTGCCATCCTAAAATGGGTCTTTAAACAGGAGGAAACATTGGCTACCAAGTGTCGTGCGAGTTCCTCTTCCTTCCCCTTCTAGGGATCTCAGCCCTCCTGGGGCTCGGGTTGGCTCTAAAGCGGTCCTCTCTGTGTCTTCCCACCCACAGTAACAAAGGCATGGAGCATCTGTACAGCATGAAGTGCAAGAACGTGGTGCCCCTGTACGACCTGCTGCTGGAGATGCTGGACGCCCACCGCCTACACGCGCCCACTAACCGTGCAGGGGCGCCCATGGAGGAGACAGACCAAAGTCACTTGGCCACCGCCGGCTCTACTTCATCGCATTCCTTGCAAAAGTATTATATCACAGGGGAGGCAGAGAGTTTCCCCACCACAATCTGAGCGCTCCCCAGCTCCCCGCAGGGTTCAGAGAACCCCTGCAGCATTTTACCCTCATCATGCACCACTTTAGCCAAATTCTGTCTCCTGCATACACTCCAGCATGCATCCACCACCAACGGCTTTCTAGATGAGTGGCCATTCATTTGCTTGCTCCGTTCTTAGTGGCACATCTTTTGTCTTCTGTTGGGAACAGCCAAAGGGATTCCAGGGCTAAATCTCTGTAATAGCTCTCTTTCCCCCTTTGCTATGTTACTAAGCGTGAAGATTCCTGTAGCTCTTCACAGCTGAACTCAGTCTGTGGGTTGGGGCTCAGATGACTGTGCATTTAAGCTACTTGTAGAGACCCAGGCCTGGAGAGCAGTCATTTTGCCTCTGATAAGCACTTTTTAAATGGCTGTAAGAATAAGCCACAGCAAAGAATTTAAAGTGGCTCCTTTAATTGGCGACTTGGAGAAAGCTAGGTCAAGGGTTTATTTTAGCATCCTCTTATTCCTATGGCAATGCATCATTTTATGAAAGTGGTACACCTTAAAGCTTTTATGTAACCGTAGCAGAGTATCTGGTGATTTTCAATTCATTTCCCCTATAGGAATAAAAGAGGCACACAGGGAAGGCAGATACCCTAGTAGACAAGACTATTTTTAACTTGATGCACTGCAGCTTCAGATGTGCTGAAAGCTCTGCCACTGGCTTTCCAGTCCTGGGTTCCAGTTAACTCGTGCCTCCCATGGACCTATGGAAAGCAGCAAGTTGATCTTAGTTAAGTCTCCCCTCATGAGGGATGAGTTCTTGATTTTTTTGTTTTTACTTTTGTGTTATAAAAGGAAGCCCTCCTCCCCAAAACTTGTAGTAAAGTCAGCTTCAGGACCTGTTCTGGTGGGCGCTGTACTTGGATCTTCCTGGCATGTGTGTGCCTTACACAGGGTGGACTTTTCACTGTGGTGATGCATGATGAGGGTAAAGGGTAGTTTAAAGGAGCAGGGGCCCCACTGATGCATTTAGCCCTGGAGCATGGAGCCAAACAGTACATGTGCAGGATCACTGTGGCTACTAGAGAACAAGAGGGAAAGCAGGGCAGAAACTGGATACAGTTCTGAGGCACAGCCAGACTTGCTCAGGGTGGCCCTGCCGCAGGCTGCAGCTACCTAGTAACATTCCTTGCAGACCCTGCATTGCCTTTTGGGGCTGCCCTGGGATCTCCGGGGTAGTCCAGCTCTTCTTCATTTCCCAGCGTGGCCCTGATTGGAAGAAGCAGCTGTCACAGCTGCCATAGACAGCTGTGTTCCTACAATTGGCTCAGCACCCATGGGCAGGGGAGGAGGGTGGGGACCGTTGCTGTCACTACTCAGGCTGACTGGGACCTGGTCAGATTACATATGCCCTTGGTTGTTCAGAGCTAATCCAAAATCAGGGTTTGGTTTTGAGAGGAAAATACCCCCTTTCTCCCCTCCCCATTGCCTCCCCACCTGCTAGCTCATTTCCTTCAATTTCCTTTGACCTATAGGCTAAAAAAGAAAGGCTCATTCCAGCCACAGGGCAGCCTTCCCTGGGCCTTTGCTTCTCTAGCACAATTATGGGTTACTTCCTTTTTCTTAACAAAAAAAAGAGTGTTTGATTTTCTCCGGGGTGACCGTATTGTCTATAATTCAAACCCTATGGAGAGGTGATGTATGTGTTAGCCAATGACCCAGGTGAGCTGCTAGGGCTTCTCTTGGTATGTCTTGTTTGGAAAAGTGGATTTTATTAATTTCTGATTGTCCAGTTAAGTGATCACCAAAGGACTGAGAATCTGGGAAGGCAAAAAAAAAAAAAAAAAGTTTTTATGTGCACTTAAATTTGGGGACAATTTTATGTATCTGTGTTAAGAATAAGTTTAAGAACATAATTCTTTTGTTGCTGTTTGTTTAAGAAGCACCTTAGTTTGTTTAAGAAGCACCTTATATAGTATAATATATATTTTTTTGAAATTACATTGCTTGTTTATCAGACAATTGAATGTAGTAATTCTGTTCTGGATTTAATTTGACTGGGTTAACATACAAAAGCCAAGGAAAAATATTTAGTTTTTTTGTATACTTTTCAAGCTACCTTGTCATATATACAGTCACTGATGCCTAAAGCCTGGTGATTATTCATTTAAATGAAGATCACATTTCATATCAACTTTTGTATCCACAGTAGACAAAATAGCACTAATCCAGATGCCTATTGTTGGATATTGAATGACAGACAATCTTAATGTAGCAAAGATTATGCCTGAAAAGGAAAATTATTCAGGGCAGCTAATTTTGCTTTTACCAAAATATCAGTAGTAATATTTTTGGACAGTAGCTAATGGGTCAGTGGGTTCTTTTTAATGTTTATACTTAGATTTTCTTTTAAAAAAATTAAAATAAAACAAAAAAAATTTCTAGGACTAGACGATGTAATACCAGCTAAAGCCAAACAATTACACAGTGGAAGGTTTTACATTATTCATTTAATGTGTTTGTATTCATGTTAAGATACTACTATGTTTGAAATGGGCAAAGAACATCAGATGATTGAAATGTTAGCCCAGGGGTCTCCAGCAACTTTGGAAATCTCTTTGTATTCTTACTTGAAGTGCCACTAATGGACAGCAGACATTTTCCAGCTGATGTTGGTATCGGGTGTAGGAACAGGATAGAAAACTCTTGCCTCTGCATTCCCCCCGCTCTGAGGCAAGTTAAAATTTAAAAGATGTGATTTATCTGGGGGCTCAGGGTATGGTGGGGAAGTGGATTCAGGAATTTGGGGAATGGCAAATATAATAAGAAGAGTACTGAAAGTATTTGGAGGCACATTAATTCTGGCACCTGGGGTGTGTACCAGGGTTCAGTAGTTCACTTCTGCCCTGGACACCACAAATAAACTAGCTCCATTTACAGCCATTTCGAAAATGGCAGCTTCAGTTCTAGAGAAGAAAGAACATCAGCAGTAAAGTCCAAGGAATAGCTAGTGGTCTGTGTTTCTTTCAGCCATTGCCTAGCTTGCCGTAATGATTCTCTAATGCCATCATGCAGCAATTATGAGAGGCTAGGTCATCCAAAGAGAAGACCCTATCAATGCAGGTTGCAAAATCTAACCCCTAAGGAAGTGCAGTCTTTGATTTGACTTCCCTAGTAACCTTGCAGTTATGCTGAACCATGCCATATCCCATGCCTTTTGGGGGCTGAACAAATAAGGGACTTACTGAGAATTTACTTTTGATCACATTAAGGTGTTCTCATCTTGAAATCTCTTATGTTGAGATGATAAGTGATTTAGGCCATTGGCTTAGAGTACTCCCTCCCCTGCATGACACTGATTACAAATCCTTTCCTATTCATACTTTCTAATGATGAGAGGGTCTGTGGGTACTGGGAATGATCACCAACACCATAGTCATGTCTAACATTCACAGGCAGATCTGCTTGGGGAAGCTTGTTGTGATGAAAGGCAAATAGAGTCATACAATAGCTCAAAAGGCAACCAACATTCTCTTTGGTGCAGGTCTTGGGAGGGTGATCTAGATGACTCTGCACCATTCCCAGGTTAATCCCCTGAAAACTTACTCTCAACTGGAGCAAATGAACTGCGGTCCCAAATACCCATCTTTTCAGTAGCGTTATTATGCTCTGTTTCTAACTGCATTTCCTTTCCACTTGAATTAAAGTGTGGCCTGGTTTTTAGTCATTTAAAATTGTTTTCTAAGTAATTGCTGCCTCTATTATGGCACTTCAATTTTGCACTGTCTTTTGAGATTCAAGAAAAATTTCTATTCTTTTTTTTGCATCCAATTGTGCCTGAACTTTAAAAATATGTAAATGCTGCCATGTTCCAAACCCCATCGTCAGTGTGTGTGTTTAGAGCTGTGCAACCTAGAAATAACATATTGTCCCATGAGCAGGTGCCTGAGACACAGACCCCTTTGCATTCACAAAGAGGTCATTGGTTATAGAGACTTGAATTAATAAGTGACATTATGCCGGTTTATGTTCTCTCACAGGTGATAAACAATGCTTTTGTGCACTACATACTCTTCAGTGTAGAGCTCTTGTTTTATGGGAAAAGGCTCAAATGCCAAATTGTGTTTGATGGATCAATATGCCCTTTTGCTGATGCATACTATTACTGACGTGACTCAGTTTTGTCGCAGCTTTGCTTTGTTTAATGAAACACACTTGTAAACCTCTTTTGCACTTTGAAAAAGAATCCAGCGGGATGCTCGAGCACCTGTAAACAATTTTCTCAACCTATTTGATGTTCAAATAAAGAATTAAACTAGAGACAAGTTTGTTTTTTGTAAGCTTCACTTCTTGCTAGCAGTTCACCACTGATCACATAAAATCAAGCTGGTTCAGAGCACACAGTGAGTCTGAATGCCAAGGCCCCTCCTCACCTCACTCCCTCTGCCCAACACCCCCAGGTATATCAGGAAGTGTGTGGACACCGCGGTCAGCCAGATCTGGCTTCAACTCTTGGCTTCGCCACTTACCTTACAAGGTTTATGATAATTGGCAACTGATTTTTCAGAGTTTCGGCTACCTTATCAACAACATGATGATAAATAATAACACCTAATTCACAGGATGGTGATGAGGACTAAGTGAGGTGCTCATTAAACATAGTTGCTGTTTTCTAATGCCTGGCCCCAACTCTGTCCCTTTGAGGGAGAAGAAGGACGCTTGAGAGTGGTTATTTATGAATGAATGAGTGAATGGATGAATGAGTAATCTGAAACTATATAATTAGCTTAAAAACTTCTCCCTCGGGAACACGACACACCGGGGCCTGTTCGGGGATTGGGGAGCTAGGGGAGGGATAGCAGGGGGTGAGGGGTTTGGGGGGGGTAACATTAGAAGAAATACTTAATGTAGATGACTGGGTGAAGGATGCAGCAAACCACCATGGCATGTGTGTAACTATGTGACAAACCTGCATGTTCTGCACAGGTACCCCAGAACTTAAAAGTATAATAATAAAAAATTAAATTAAATTAAATTAAAATGGAAACCTCTTCCTCATTCTGAAGGTAAACCACAAACAATTAGTCCACTCCCACCCAGGTTTCCATTTCAGGGCTCCCTTCCTCTTTTAGAGCTACCTGTGTGCTTCCTTTACCCATTCCCTCTAATTTAATTGATGAATTGGGAGGGGGTGGGAATAGGACTTACTGAGAGGCAGCATAATAGACACAAGGCTCTGCCGCTAGATTACTCTTTGAATCTTCATTCTACCATTTTTTTGGGCATCATCTTGGGCAAGTTAATTACCCTGGCCCTCAGTTTCTTCACTTGTAAAGAGAGATGACAGTGCACCTGCCTGGAAGGGTTCTTATGAAGACCACATGGTTCGCTCATGGAGAGTATGGAAGCAACGTGGCTAACTCTGCTTTTCCCTCACCAGTCCTCCAAAAATGCATGTTGGACTCATCTCTTTATTAGGATGGGTTGAGGGTCTTCACATTGAGTCACTTGGATTCAAGGAAGCTAATTCATTTTCTTGCACAAGCATTCCCTTGGCAAGTTCTTCAGTCCCTCTTTTCAATGGTTTCCTCATTCCTAAAATAGAAACAAGAATAGCACTTACCCCCACAGCAGTACTGTGAAGATTACAAGAGGCGGACACATGAAGTGCCCGGGCTAGTACTGCACAGAGTCAGCATTCAATCCATGGTAGCAAATTTTAGTGCAATTATTGTTGCCCTGCCTGAGCATCTACATTTAGTAGAATGATGGATATGTTTAGGTTTACATTTTCCACGTTATTATCATTTTGCCTCTTGTCTTTTTTGTTCCTCTGTTCTTCTTACTGCCTTTTGTTGTTTTAGTGACTTTGTGGTACAATAAGAAATGTATATTTGGACTCTGGCCCAAGTTTCTGAGACAACTTCTAAAACTCTTGTAGACAGGCGTGCTAGGAGGCTCTTATGTTCTAATATTTGGTCTTTGACCCTGGTTTCTAACACAGAGCTCCCAAATTCCTTGGAATTTCCTGGGCAACAGAAACTTCTTTTGCTAGAATGAGGCAACTCCTGGCGGGCTCCCGGATAACCTCAGGATGGGGAATCAGCCATTGAATGAAAGCGTCGGAACTTTTCTACCTTCGGCTTCTGGAGAGGCTCTGGAGAGGGGCTGATGGCTGAATAGATTATCAATGGCCATTGATGGAATTAATTATGTCTATGTAATGAAGCCTCCATAAAAACCCCAGGAGGACAGTGTTCAGAGAGCTTCTGGATTGGTGAATGCTTGGGGGTGTCTGGAAGGTGGAGTGCCTGGAGAGGACACGGAAGCTCCTCGCACCTTCCCCCATGCCTTGCTCTCTCCATCTCTTCATTTGTCCATCTGTATCTTTTTCATTATCCTTGATAATAAACTGGTAAATGTAAGTGAGCTCTCCTGTGACTGCAGCAACAAAGCTGTCAATCTTTCTACCTGCCTTATTCTGGTGTTGACCACACGGGGAGGATGTAAGGGTGGGAGCAGCCCCAGGCAAGAATGCCACCAACCTGCACTGTACTTACCCAAATTTCAGCAATTTTCCAATATAAACATTTCTCAGATTGTTAGACGTCTCTGGTCAACTCGCAGAGTGCTGAAATGGTTGTTTTTGTCAATTTTCTTCAAACTTATAGTTTCGTTTGGAGTGAGGATTTGCCAATACTCTCACTCAGCCATAGCTAGGGTCTCACCTCTCCACATACTTTGTCCCTCCTTTATTTCCCTTGTCAGAACACCAAGGAGCAGACTTGTTGACATGTGCCGTGTGTTATTTCTGGTGATCAGAAGAATAGTTCTGGTTTGGAGAGAATACTTAGCAATCTATTGAGATTTTAAATGTATACCCATTGCAGTCTCAATGTAGGGATGCCTGAGTGGGGCTTGATTACATGCTGGGTAAAGATCACATTCTCCAGTGTTAGATAGCCTTAAGTCTTTGGGGACATTTAAACTCAGAATTACCATGTTTAGATTTGCTTCTCCAAACACATAGAATGTATGCTGTATTAGTCCATTCTCACACTGCTAAAAAGAAACATCTGAGACTGGGTAATTTATAAAGAAAAGAGGTTTAATTGGCTCATGGTTCTGCAGGCTGTACAGGAAGGATGGCAGCATCTGCACGGCTTCTGGGGAGACCTCAGGAAACTTTCAATCACGGTGGAAGGTGAAGGGGAAGCTGGTACTTCTTACTTGGCTGGGAGCAGAAGGCAGAGAGAGGTGGGGAGGCGCTACATGCTTTTCAATAACCAGATCTCACAGTAACTCACTCACTCAGTATCACAGGGAGAGCACCTGAGGGGATGGTGCTAACCCATTCAGGAGAACTCCACCACCATGATCCAGTCACCTCCCACCTCCAACTAGGGATTACAGTTTGACCTGAGAGTTGATGAGGACGCAGATCCAAACTACATCAGATGCATTGAAGAAATAAATTTTCATCATTTTCATTATTTGGACTACGTGCATTAAGAAGCCAGTTTTAAGTTCATGTTCACGGTGGCTTACAATGACAATATTTGTAAATACCACCAGAATAGCGGAGCTGAGACCAGAGAAAAGATATTCATTCAAGACAGAGACACACTTTCTAACAGAACTGCCTGTAGATAATTTGGGGCACCTGTTGAAGACAAGGGTGGGGAGAATTTCCTGCAACGGAAGGCACCTCTGCATGGATCCACAACCATGAAGCTAGAATGTTATTGAAAAGCCTCCCTCAGCAGATGAAATGAGCTTTGATTTTTCTTTCCACTCTGAGACAGCACACACACACACACACACACACACACACACACACACACATTCATACACACAAAAGCTAGGTACCAGTTTTACATCACTTTTTTCAGGTAATCCTCCCAGCTACCGTGTAAGGATAAATTATTATATTTTACAGATGAGGAAACTGAAGCCTAAGACAGTTAAGTAACTTTCAAAGGTCAGAAATCTTGTGAATGGCAGACATGAAATTAGTCTTCCTGACTTTAAACATGAGTGGTACTTCTTAGACCAGGGTTGTTTCCTAGGAATTACTGAGAGTTCCTGAGTACATATAACATTTTACTCAAGGAATAGAGTGAATGTTAGTTTTGCATGTAATGCCTATCAATGGTAGACTGGATAAAGAAAATGTGTCATATATGCATCATGGAATACTAGGCAGCCATAAAAAAGAATGAGATCATATTTTCTGCAGGAACATGGATGGAGCTGGAAGCCACTGTCCTTAGTAAACTAAAGCAGGAACAGAAAATCAAATACTGCCTGTTCTCACTTATAAGTGGGAGATAAATGATGAGAACACAGGGACACATGGAGGGAAACAACACACACTGGGGCCTTTTGGGGGGTGGAGGGTGGAAGGAGGGAGACAAACAGGAAAAATAACCAGTGGGTACTAGGCTTAATACCTGCGTGATAAAATAATCTGTACGCCAAACCCCCATGACACACATTTACCTATATAACGAACCTGCACATGTACTCTTGAACCTAAAATAAAAGTTTGAAAAAAATCACATTTAAACAAGCTTTCACATTTTCTGAGGAGAAGGAAAAACTCATATGAACTTTTAATGCAAAAGGGGTTATCTGATCAAAGAATACGGCACCTTGGACAGGATGCTGAAAGCTATGCCACTTAAGTCCTGGGTCTTTCTGGTGGGTGGCTGTTGGGTAGAGAAGCTTGAGGAGCACTTCTGCCATCTTCCTGGGGCCTAGTGGTGCCAGTGCTCCTGGTTTCTGAGGTCATACCAGGCCTTTACCTGCCTCTGCTTCCTGCTGAGGAGTGATTTTCCTCTGTACCTTGGCACCAGGAGGAGGTCTATTTCTAGCCAAAGACCTGAGACCTTGAAGCCCACAGCGGTGGGATCCTCACTAGCAGCAGGGCCTGTTTCAGTCTCCGACAGTCTCCAGGCTAGGCTCACCCTCCCCCTGTTCCTGGGCAGTGAGACGGTCTCCCACAAGACCGTCTCACGGCCCAGGAAGAGACCACAGCCCACAGCGAAGGCACTTGGCATCTATGTAAAGCTGACAAACTAGGAACTGTCATCCTCACTACATGAATGTGGAAAAAGACAAAACTGGAGCAAAGAAGACTTTGGGCAAACATTTGAAAAAGTGATTTCAAAAGTGGGTGGGCTGACCTCAGTGGCTGGGCCAGGCTGGGTGCCCGGGACGCACTCCAAAGTGGCAGATGCTAGACCCTTTGCCAAGAGCCAGTCACCCCAAGGGTTGCAGGCAGACAGCTCTGGGAGTGACTTCCTAGACTCGGCA